TTAATAGTGATTAGGCTCTAATTAAATGTACAAGGACTAAACTGCCCCTGCTTAAGTATGGGACAGAGAACCTCTAATAAGACTGCCACATAAGCTCATAACTTAACCAAGGTGAGTTGACTAATCTACCCTTATTCGGCTAACTCTAACAAAGAAAATGTGTTGATTAGACAAAATTTTAAGTTCCCTTGCTTATTGGTTCAGGTTCTAAAATCTTTGAGGATTCAATCAAGGATCAAAACTTCGATACGATATGCCCCATATCGGGTGTATTGTATTGTATCTTTCACGCCCCAATGCACATGTTTACAGGTGTTTTCGGGAACCCATTTTTTAAAATAATATATATATATATATATATATATATTTAAAAATGAAATTGAAAACCAAAGAAAAAAAAGGGGGAGTATCATTATAAGTACTGATACACCTCTGCCGATACACAGAGGTGTATTGATACTTTGAACCATGGGTTCAATACAGCAGTTAGCAATGTTTATGTTGATTAAACCCTAACAAATAAGAAAATAATAAAAAGAAATTAGTACATGAACACATAAAATGGGTATTCTAGTTTAATAATGCCTATTTTATAATTATAATGTCAAAAAATAAAAAATATGAAAGTATTTTATAACTTAGTGAACAAAACTACTTGACAACTATGCTCTGCATATCATGTTTAACATACCAATTCACCAGCACATGGGGGTGTTGAGTTAGTTAGGATGACATGTCCTCCTGGAGTATACAAACTTGATAGGAGGTGTTACATGAGATATCTTCAGTGGTTTGCTTGGCTGTGTGACCTGGGCCTGAGATGGCTTAGTTAGGGGCCCTAATTCATACTTGGACCACATGGGTATGAGCCAATTGGCTTATCCCAAAACTATGCTAACACATTGCTCTCCACAATGGGAGACCTTCCACTCAATTGCTCTTATTGAGCATTGTGACTAGTTCCCCACCAAGGCTCCCAAGACCCCTATTTATAGAGTTGAGAGGGCCAAAACTTCCGAAAGAAGAGGATTTGAACCTAGAAATGGCTATGTCGAGGTTCAAGAAAAAATCTTTAATTTAGTTAACACGAAATAGTTAGGAATAAGGATGAGTTAAGTTCCTTGTCCTACTTGTTGAGCATGGTCTAAACCGTCTGTGGGTTTATTCCTTTGTTCTAATTGGACTCGGATATTCATCTATACATGCCTCAATACTGTATAATGTTATGACTGATTACATATTGTGGATATCTTGTCTTATTGTAGAATTCGTTCATGCTTCTCGGCCTGAACTAAAACATAAAGGCAAAAAAAAAAAAAACACCAATAGAATATGTGTTCCAAACAATCTGGTTGGCAGTATGTTTGATCTAACTTGTGAGGATTAATTGTTGCAGGACAAGTCAGCTTTCGCAGCAATTGTGAGGAGAATCTCTAAGATACAAAAGAGCAACGGATCCAATTGGATTGTGTTGAGAGATAAATGATGTCTGGGTCTTAAATTCAAGCTTTTCTTTTCCCAAATCTGGTTTTTCACTTTTTCTTGAGGTAACAATTTCGTGCATTACAATCTAGACCCTGCCACATACTTTCTCCTTGTGAGAAAAAAGAAAAATATTGTAGGGCTTCTTGTTCTGAAATCTGAACAATGGTGAGGTTAGTTTTCTGTAACGTACCAGTAACCTGAAAATTCATGTCATTTAATTTTTCTTTTACGTTTTTTGCCTGTCTACTACGCACTGTAAATCTATAATTGACACCACTTTGCGAACAAGCTCCTAGACTCACACAGAAATAGTCCATAATGTGCTCACAGAAATAGTCCGTAGAGTTTGTACTGTACCCATTTTCCAACCCCCTCTTAGGGCTGCCTCGATTCGAATCTGAATTCAATCCGTTAAGAACCATATTTTGGATATCTCCTTTGATTTTAACAAATCTGATTAAATTAGAAAAGTAGATCAATTCTTTAATTATGAAATATTATATATTATATTATTTAGATTATATCACCAATTTTTTTATTATAATCCAAATCGAATCAATTAAAAAATTAGATACTCGAATTCCAATCATAGTTTTGAAAATTCGGTTGATTCTTTTTGGATTTGGATCGATCGGATTTCTTATTGAATCGGATTGGATATACCCTTTCCCTTTATTTGCAGCCCTATCTCCAACTCCAAGACTCCTACCACATGATGAGCCTGGGCTATACTGATATCGATCTCCAGGCACGGCTCTAAGAAGGAAAATAAACAAAGATAATTTTGTTGGAAGGTAAATCTCTCATACCCATTTGATTGTGGTTGGATACATATATAGAGCTCAGGCTGATGCGTCTGTAACAAACTCTACAATTCTGTTACTCTAGACCACCTTAGCCTCTGCATGTCAATGTGCCTTACATATACCCGCCTTCATTCAATGTATACTATGTAAATAACCGGAACTATCACCATAAAATGCACGATAAACCCTCAACCCTCCAGGCTTCAGCCATAGAAGTTGGTTCAATCCTACGTACTATTGCTTTCTTTCTCACATAGTTTTCTCATTCAGTTGGGACTAATGGCGTAGAGGAATATGACCCATGCGAGGTTTGAAAAAATAAAAAAGAATATGAAGAGGAAGATAACAAGTCAATAATTCATTTAAGATGAAAACATGATGGAGATGGAACTTTCTTTTTATGTTATAAGTGCGATTTGACAGGAAAACAGAAGATTTCTTTTACTTTTGGGTAAGAATATTTGGTTGTTGTGAGTTGACGTATGATATTTCCGATGTATAGTGCAAGTGACCAGCAATGTACTGTGATTAGCACATCCGGACTCTTTTTTTGGTTTCATGACACAAAGGAGGTAGTCCATCTCCAATCCGGGGTTAAACAAAACTGAGGAAATAGGACTCATGTGGCCGGCTCCATATGGTAGGGATAGGGTTTGGATCAAGGTTTAAAGTTTCGATACTGGCTGATACACCGGTAGGGCGTATTGGCCAGTATCGGCCCTTTTTTTTTTCAATTTTAGTTTAAAGGGGCCAATTTAAGTCCGATTACTCTCTGAACCAGGCCCTAACCTGATACAACCCCTGTAGGGGCGTATCGGGAAGGGTCCAATACAATATGTATCGACTGATATGGGCTGATACGGGCTAATACGTAACGATTTTTTTATCTTTGGTTTGGATGATTGATAACTATTTATATGATCCAGTTGCTTTAGCCTTCACGTAGTCCTATAACCATCCAAATGATCATCATTTCTTTATAGGCTACATGATGCGTCTAGTATTCACTTCTAAACTTTTGGTAAAATTCAAGGGATTTCATTGATAATGACGGAGAAGATTAAAGGTAGAGGCTCCGGCAAGCCCACAGGTGAGGAAACCAGATTGCTTGAGGACCTTACTCGCAAATAGGCGAGGCAGATTATTAGCTTCATTCATTGCTTCAAAGACGGACAGAAGTAACATTTGGATCTCTGATTTTGGACAGAGGAGAGCACATGATTGTTCTAGTGAGCACTCTGGTTTTGGTTGGTGCCATTTCCAAGCTACCATCCCCATCGATCAAACTCGGTGGCTCTTCCTCATCGCTCCTACATTTTTGGGAAGAGGACAAGATCCATTTACAGAACAGAGGATGTGGATATAGAATTACAGTGTAACTCTGTCCCAGATTTTGAAGTGGAAGGCTTTCCTGGATTATCTCATCTAATTAATCCCATGAATTTGGATTCGTTAACAAGAATGCCATAACTATAACCCATAGTCATATAAATTGAAACTTGAAACATGATTCAAACTCTTGAGAGAACTGAAAAAGTAAATCAAATAAACTTAACCGGCGTTCTTATAACCAACAATCCACACACCCATAATCATACTGATCAGTTAAGCTGAAATGAGAGATCATCATCGTAGGTTTAAGTAACAGCATCCTAAAACTGAGAGAAGCAAAGCAAGAGCAAACCAACCCACAAGCTAGAAGGGAGTCCACGCGTGGAAGCAGATGGGGTGGGTCCAGTGGCCACGGCATCATCTGTAGAAACGATCATCATCGCCTCCTCTTTTGTTTTAGGCTGTGGCAACACCTCGACGTTAAACTTGAGACCCTTCTTGCAGCTCTCCGGCCTGCCACTGGTGAAGTAGTGGGTGCCTTCTGCGTCAAAGGAGATGCTATCCAAGCCATCAGTGTACATCCTGATTGGATTACTGGTATCGCATGAATCGAATTCCTCTTTGCTTTTCAACTCTGCAATGCTTTCCTGCGCAACAGAATAGGCAAACCCTGCCAAATGCCACCCAACGCCCCCCCCCCCCCAAAAAAAAAAAGTAACATCGTACGATCAGATTATAAGACTAGGATAGGAAATGTGCTGGGGCCCGAGCAAACCACCCCAGACATCACCACCGCCTGATTCTTGTGCACAGTGCAACTTGTTTTACTCTCCGGTAGTCGGTTAATATATCTCAGGTGTGAGGGATGGTGTCTCACAGCCCAACTTGGCAGGTCAAGGGAAAGATGAAGTAATATTTCTGATAATTAAGTGAGAAGCAGCAATTAATCTGGATTACTTCCGAGATGAGAGTTCTCTCGTAAGACCCAGATAAAAGAAAGGAAAAAAGAGTATATAAACGATCCGGTGGATCAGAGAGAGAGAGCTTACAGATTTTGTCGCCGACCCTGAAAATCCTACCGGACGACCAGGCTCCGATATTGGAAGATGGATCCCACCCATGATCGTCTCCAACCACATGATGAACTTGAGCTGCTATCCTTTTCTCCCCAACAATCACCGATATAATAATCATGAGAAGCATCAACATAAAGGAACTACGCATAACTTCAGCCATTGAAACAGAGATTCGATGGTTAATCTCCTCCCTCAGTGTAAGCTTCAGAAAAAGGCGAGAGAGAGAGAGAGAGAGAGGGGAACTGATCGTACGTGTTGTTTAAGGAGCTCCTTTTCATCACACTTCCCTTTCCTGCTACTTAAGGAAGCCAAGGACTGAAGAGTGTGTATTCTCTCCGGTGTTAGCCTTAGTTTATATACCAAAGGAAACTTAATGACAGAAGTTTCTTCACCAAGGCACCAACCAGTCAGTCTCTATTGGGAATGGCTGAATGGGGAGTAAAGAGTAACAACGCCAAGTAGTGTAGAGTAGGCATTGTCAGTGACAAGTAACAACCCTCATCTGCCATTGATATTTCATATTCCATACCCACACAATTGAGAGGTAACTTCAACACTTCCAGTTCCATGAAATCACACCTAAAGCTCCATCTTGCAAAATTGTTGCCTGAGTCATCCCTTGCAACAAGGAGGAAGCAATTCAATCCAGTACAATTCCAACCTTTTTATTAACGTCTGATTGGGATCTTATCTTCTCAACACCCCCTCCCTCCTCAGTGTCATCATATGTCCGGCCCACAGCCCACTTAACACCAAAGATTTCACACTCACGTAGGTGGGCCCACATTAACTGAAGGACCCACAAGCACAAGGAAAATGTAAGAAGAGGGTGGCAAAAGTGGAAGGTTCCAAGAGGGAGACAAAGGGCAGACCAATCCGAATGGGATGATGCCCCACCCGCTAGTAGCGCCATTTGCCAGGGGATTTCCCTCCTCTTAGTTTTTTGGTTTCAACTTGAAACACTTTTGAAGGGGACGGCTCAACTTCACTTGGGAAACAGAAGAGGGAAGGGATAAAATGCTTTACTTCCCAAAGGTTTTGTTTTGGCTCGTCCTTCTTGCTTCTTAGGGCTGTCGTCCTTCAGAGTTTGGATTGCCAGGGAACGGATTCATAGAACCCTCTCTCTCTCTCTCTCTCTCTCAAGGTTAGTCACAGGGCAGAAAGGGGCCGGGTTGGGTTAATACATATATCCGAAAAAACATTTTTGAGAGAATCATCTTAAGATTGTCACGTAACAAAAACGGGTCAGATCAACCTGTATACTAAAAAATGCAAAAAGTAGTAAAGAATACCAAAATATTACAGAAAATTCAGATAAATACAAAAAAAAAACAAAAATTACGAAATTGTGGAAAATACCAGAAAATTACTAAAAATGTAGAACTTTTGCAAAAAAAAAACACCAAAAAATGTAGAAAATGTAAAAAAATACCAGAAATTTGCAGAAAGTGCAGAAAATACTAGAAAATGTAGAAAATAGCAGAAAATTGCATAAAATGAAAAAAATGCAGAACTTTTCATAAAAGTACTTACTTTTGTAAAAATACTTTTATAAAAGTGCTTTTATGCTTTCATAAAAGTGTTTGTGTAAAAGTGCTTTTATGGTTTCATAAAAGTATTTTCGTAAAAGTACTTTTTGTAAAACTGTTCATAAAAGTACTTTTCAAAAAAGTAATTTCGTGTAAAAGTACATTTGTAAAACTACTTTTGTGTAATATAAAATTACTTTTGTAAAAGTTCTTTCGTATAAAATTGCATGTGAACACGAAAGTTAATAAAATCTATTTTATTTCACTTTTAATCACAAAATAAAATGTGGTATGGTGGTTTGGATTTGTAATGAGATGTGGACATGTAAAGAGGCCTGAGTTCGAGTCATGTTAACTGTTGTTTTATTTGAGAGTTGGCGACTATAGATAGGGCTTAACTTTGATCCAACCCATCTTGACCCGCGCAACCCAACCCATCCTCACCCTAATAGGTTACTCGACCTATATTGACTCTTAAATAAAATGGGTGGGTTGGGCAGGTCAAATGGGTTGGGGTCAAGATTGCTAGCCATACCTACCAAGGCAATCTCCATTCCCAACCCAATGGGGTCGGAGAAGATGGGTACCCAACAATGACAGCGAAAATTGCCATCCCTAATCCAAATTTGATCCATTTATAATTGGAGCAAATATGGATCCACCCCCACTAGCCCAATAAAATTCAATTCAATTTGATTTAAATGTATATATTCATATATATTGAAAATTTATATTGTATCTATTTGCAAAGGTGGTTTGAGTGTTGTGTTTTTACTTAAATTGTTATGGTTCAAGTTTCCTAAATATTATTTTTAACTCATTTTATTCATGAAATACAATATTAAAGTCATTTTTGGTTCATTTTATTAATAATATATGATCATTTTTTTGTTTCTCTTGTTAACACAATTTAATAGTCATTCGCAATTTGAATTAGATTCAAATCTAATGGATATGATCCAATTTAGAGTCAAATTGATCGGGGTCAAGATTGCCAGTCATACCCGCCAATGCAATATCCATCTCCAACCCAATGGAGTCGGAGAAGCTGGGTACTCAACAATGACAAGGAAAATTGCCATCTCTAATCCGAATTTGATCCATTTATAATTGGAGCAAATACGGATCCACCCCCACCAGCCCAATAAAATTCAATTCGATTTGATTTAAATGTATATATTCATATATATTGAAAATTTATATTGTATCTATTTGCAAGGGTGGTTTGAGTGTTGTGTTTTTACTTAAATTGTTATGGTTCAAGTTTCCTAAATATTATTTTTAACTCATTTTATTCATGAAATACAATATTAAAGTCATTTTTGGTTCATTTTATTAATAATATGTGATCATTTTTTGTTTCACTTGTTAACACAATTTAATAGTCATTTGCAATCTGAATTAGATTGAAATCTGATGGATATGATCCAATTTAGAGTTCGAATCACCTGTCAATAAAATGTGTTCCAACACCCTCCCAACATGATCCGACACCACACATTTCATACATGGTGGATCCCAAGGCATTAGACCTTTTCCTACAATTTCAGAAAAGAAAAAACAAAAAAAAAAGAAAGAAAAAGAAACGAACAAGCAAACAAAGAGAAATGCCGGAATCTCAAGGGCATCAGACCATCTCAGAATTAAGCCCTTTAGGACCACTCTAGCACTACTACCCAAAAAGAAGAGGACCCTATTGCTAGTAAAGATATGTTGCACTTTTTTCCTGCACTTTCAGCCTCACATTGTAGGAGTGTGAATACCTATGCATACGACAACACGCATGTAATGATGAAGTTCTGAACTTGTGATAGACTGAAAGTGTAGAAGTGCAGCAGATCCGGACTCCACTCTAGAAATGCCGGAATGAACACATACATGGGTGATGTGGCCAGATGAAGCCCAACTAAAATGTAATGATGCAACTCAGTGCATGCAGTTGGTTTGGGTTAAGATCAACTCTTAACCTAACTCGGTGTGTTAAAAGTTAGAACCAGGGTAGGAAATGGATGGCATGGATGTTGAAAACCAACCCATCTACCAACCATCCACACCCATTAATAATAGTACATCATGTTAGGCTCAAAGTATTGATACGTGCCAAATGCATTAAATAAACTTTTCTAGACTTTCAGTTTGGTTGGATGGGTGTTGAAAACCAACCTATCTACCGAGTCAGGATCTGCTCCTCGCACCTACCGGTCCTCACACCTACCTTGCATGTACCAGTTGCATGTGCGGAATATCTCCCATACTTCTCCAACATATTACCGCTGTGTATTGAGAATATCTCCTGATGATAATATCAGAATTGATGATATCATCATTGGGAGATGTTCCCAATATACAGAGGGGATGTGCTGTGAGATGTTGTGGGGCGCAAATCTGAACTCAGGAGATCTAAACACAAAAAGCAATCCAGATCTCCTGCCCACTAGAATCCCACCTACAGGACACTATAGCTGTACATTGGAAATATCTCCCCATGAATGGTATAACATGCAATTATGTGAGATGTTTTCAATGTGTGGCTATAGTGATGTATGAATAAGAGATCTGAACACCTAAAAGAAATCCTTCATTTAGTGCATTTAAAAACTGTTGCATATCCTATGTAGATTTGTTCATGAGTCAGGAGTCCAGGCTCAATTTTACACTGTTTTGGGCTTAAGCTTTGGATCAGGCCCATTAGAATTTTGGCAAAAGTCAAGCCTGAACCCGGCCATGAACAGGTTTAATCGTATGATAGGCAACGATGCATTGTGATATTTGAATATTTGTTGCAACCCAATATAACTAATCCACCGTAGCATTTAAAATTTAACCTAAATAAAAGTATCTTTATGAAAAAATAAATAAAAAAAAGTTGAACAGATACTCAATCAACCCAAGTTGCACCCATGGTTTAAAGTATTGATACGTATCAACGTAACCGAGATGAGGCATCAGTGTTAGACGTACATGACACAGACACAGGTAATAAACTCAACTTTCCAATATAGAAAACAAATAATAATTAATCTGTTTTTGAATACCAGTATATGACAATCGGTTCACTAATTAAATTCTAACTCAACGATATATACATTTATAAATCAATGATGTTCCACCAAATGATGTATAAAACTTTGCTGTAGTCTGATATATAGCTATTTACTTAAAGTTAATGTGGTTTCAGGTTGTATGTATGTATGTATATATGAATATGCACAAATCCAACGGTCAGCTGGATCCATACATTAAAAAGGTGGAGTGGAACATCTTCATGAAATAACATGGAAAAACATAATTACAGTACTACTCTGCGTGTTGGGACACAATTCTAGCTGTTGGGTTGTAACATCAAACTTTTTATCAAGGTTAAAAAGGAGATATGGTCCACCATGAATAATATGCATGCATCCACCGCAGTTTCACGTGAACTGGTGACCCTCACGCGGGATTAATTGAAGTTGAACAGAAAAAATGCCGAGGAAGAAAGGGATGGTGAGGGAGAAAGAAGACAACAAGATCCCGGGTCTCCAGCAGAGAAAGAAAAGAAAGTGTCGCAGACACAGGCAGCATTATTTGTAATAATCGATGGATGCTTCACTGCTCCAACAGTAACTGCAGTTAATAAAAGAGTAGTCTGGTACAATACCCAATTGAAGATTCTTACAAACTTGGAATTTTGGGGTGATGGGTTTGAATTGAAGTATTCATCAAACCTAATTTTGGAAGAATTCTTTAGTTTAATTTGTATAGAGCTGGTCATCAATCACTATTCGTCTTTTAATGGAATTAAAGCTTATCTAAAAGAATGGGTTGAATTTTATTAGCACATTAAGATCTTGTACAAGGCTGTATATATACAAGAATAATAATGAATGAATTGGAAACAATTACAACAATACAAATAATAAATTAAGGCAAGAGCTTTATTAGGAAACTTCTTAAGAGGAGAGTTTCCTTTTTGCTTTGATTGGTCTCTATATGGTAGGGATTATCTGAATAGTAGCTAGTCCATTTTTAGCAGGAAGACTAGTGCTCTCTTTGGTAGCAAATCTAGAGCACTCTTTGGTA